AGATTGATGATCAGAGAGGTCATTGAACTTGCCCAACAGCACTTAGGCAGGTCTCACATCCACGTTCTCTGATATCATGCTGATGGGAGCTCCAGGGGTACTGACTCTATGGTGAGGAAACTTCCGGTGCCTCTGTCTCGGTGCTGACTGCAGTAAGAGCCCCCTGAGGTGGATGCAGAGCTGCAGGGTTCCCATGAGAGGCTGTGTGTGTGTGTGTGTGTGGGGGGGGTGGTAATTTGGAAACATAAAACACACAAACCTTGCTGTAAGTGGGAAGTGCAGGGAGATGCTTTATTGCAGAGAAACATCACAGCTGCAGTGCTTTTCTCTGAAACAGGCGTCTCACTGTATGAGTCCCAGACTTCCAAAGAGTGTAACCTTTACAAGGTGACTGCTAATCCATCTACAATTGAGCCAGATATTCCCCTCCTGTTGGGTTCTCTTCATAGAGACCCTTATGTCCACTTGTAGACTCTTTCTAATGACAACAATGGCAGCTATGGACTAAGAATTGGACACGTTGCATGTGTTATTGCATTACTTTTCACAGCAATCCTAAGAGAAAAGATCATTCCTATTTTATAGATGAAGAGAATGAAACTTAGAGAGGATAACTTGTCCAAAGTTACTTCACCTGTCAATGGGCAGATGTTCTGGTTAGATATTGCTGCATAACAAATTACCCAGAAATCTATTGGCTTATCATAACAATCATTTTATTATATTTCACTATTGTGTGGGACAGGAATTTAGACAGGGTAGAGCAGAAACAGCCTAACTTTTCCACATGACATTAGCTATGGTGGCTTGACTGGGGCTAGAGAATCTATTTTCATGATGGTTCATTCATATGGCCGGCAACTGGACTGTTAGCCAGAGTTATTAGTTCTTTTCCACATGGGCCTCTGCATGTGGTTGCTTGGGTTTTCTCATAGCATGATGGGTAGGTTCCAAGGGTGTGTATTCCAAAAGACAAGAAGTGAAGGCTGCCAATCTCCTAAAGCCTAGTCCCCAAAACTGTCATGGTGTCAGTTCTGCTGACTTTTATTGCTCAGGAAGTCACAGAGCTCTTCTAGATTTAAGGAAAGGGAACATAGACCTGACCTCTCATTGGGAGGAATGTCAAAGAATTTGTAGCCATGTTTAATCTACCACAGCAAGGATGAGAATCCAGGTTATAGTCATAACACCATATTGCATCTCAACTAGTTCAATACCAGATGTTGTTTTCAATGACCACATTTGTCTCTTTGAATTCTCATGACTAGACCATGAACAACTTAAGGGCAGGGATCTTGCCTTATACATCTCAGGTTAGGCAGAACGCCTACCTGAACATAGTCAATCTATAATAATAAAAGCATAATATGCTAATTAGACCGGACAGCTGAATGACCTTCTGAGCATCATTCTGGACATCCTTCTGGATGAAGCCGTGGCGGTGAGGGCCAAGGCAGAGGCGGTTAGGGGCCATCAGGCAGGCAGGCAGAGTGGTTAGTGGCGATCAGGCAGGCAGGAGAGTAGTTAGGGGTGATCAGGCAGGCAGGCGAGTGGTTAGGGGCATCAGGCAGGCAGGCGAGTGGTTAGGGGAGATCAGTCCTGGATTGTGAGAGGTATATCTGACTGCCAGTGGGATTGGGCCTAAACCAGCAGTCGGACATCCCCCGAGGGGTACCGGATTGCGAGAGGGTGCAGGCCGGGCTGAGGGGACCTCCACCCCTCCCCTGCCCGTGCACGAATATCATGCACTGGCCCTCTAGTGATTCATAAATGAGCGAATGATGGAGAGCTGAGTTCCAGTCCCGGCTCTGCTAAGCAACTCTGTTAGCCCAAGCAGGATGTTGAAGTACTCTGGTTCTCTGTACCACTCAGGAAAATAAGGAGATGGAATTAGATTGATCCTAAAGTCTTCCTTTTCCCAGCACTGTCATTGCATTAGTCTGCTCAGGCTGCTACCCAAAATACCTTCTTCCTTCCTTGCAGGTGGCCACTTCTTGCTGCATCCTCATGGAGACTTCCTGAGGATACATATTTCTTTTACATTGGGTACAGGATAATTAATAATTGCCATTTATAGCTCATAGACATGGTATGTGGGGAACAAGATAACAGTGAGGGGTTCTGTGGTCTCTAGGCTCTGGTGCAGTGGGTGTGCCCTGAGGGCTCTAGAAAAGGAGATCACTGTCGTTTCAAAGGTATGTTAGTTCTTTTAGATGCAAAAAGACAATGGACAGGCAAAGATTGACCTTTTTAAAGGAAGCTACAAGCCTAGGACATGACTACCCCCAATGACTTCATTTTTCGGAATTTTTATATTCAGACCATCCTATGCAGTTACTTTCAGTCTCTGGGTTTGTAAGACCCACCATGCAAGCCTCCTCTGAGCTTGTCAGGTTTAGTATGTGGACCCTTTTTCATCTATAACATCAATATTTTTTAAAATATATTTTATTGATTTTTTACAGAGAGGAAGGGAGAGGGATAGAGAGTTAGAAACATCGATGAGAGAGAAACATAAACTCCCTACTGGGTATGTGCCTGCAACCAAGGTACATGCTCTTGACTAGAATCGAACCTGGGACCCTTGAGTCCGCAGGCCGGCGCTCTATCCATTGAGCCAAACCGGTTAGGGCTATAACATCAATATTTTTAAAAGCCTCCCAGGTGATTCAATTCTGCAGGCAGGTTGATGATTTCTAATCTAGAGTTAAAGGTGCTAGATTACTGGCTGCTATGGAATGATAAGAAATTGAGGGTCACAAGCTGACAGCCACTAAATAAGTTGGGGTGTGGGTTGTGTGGTATGTTGAATAATAGCTTTCCAAAGAGTCCACATCATAATCCTCAGAACCTGGGAATGTGTTAGGTTACACATTATAGGGTGCTAATCAACTGACTTTAAACTGGGGGAGATGATCCTGGGTTATCCAAGTAGGACCATGTAATCACAGGGGCCTTAGAAAGTGGAAAAGGAAGGTAAAAGAGAGTCAGAGAGAGATGTGGCTATGGAAGAATAACCAAAGAGATGCAACATTGTTGGTTTTGAAGATGGGGAGAGCACCATGAGCCAAGGAATGTGAGATACTTTTAGGAGCTAAAAAAGGCTAAATAAATAACTAATTAAATAACTAAAATGATTCGCCCCTAGAGTCTCCAGAAAGGACTGCAGCCCTGCTGACAACTTGATTTCTCCTAGTGGCAGACTTCTGACCTACAGAACTAGAAGATAATAAATTCATGTGGCTTTAAGCCACTGAGTTTGTGGTAACTTGTTTCAGCAGCCTCAGGAAACTAGTATAGATGGTCAGTTCAGGAGGGCTTCCTGGAGGAGGCAAATCTCGAGAAACTTTTGCAGGGACATTGTTGGTGGAGAAAAACTAAGGGTAATAGACATTGGAATTTGAGTCCATCAGAAAAATAAATAAATACATAAATAAATTAATTAAACAAATAAAAAAGTAAGAAATCTCAATGCTGTATAACACTTACTCAGAATGTTTAAAGCAAAAGTCAGGAATAAAACAGTATTGTGAGATTGCCACTAAATTCCCCAATGGAGTCAGAGGGAAAAAATCCTCGGGAATTTTTATCAGTAATGTTACTTGAATTGTGATCACTTCACAGATTTAAAGGCTGACAAAACACTTGTTATACCTGGATGGTTTTAAACTACTTAAGTCAGCAAAGAGAGCAGATAGGATCTATAGCTTCCACACAGCTCATCACCTGAATGCAAACTGGAGTTTAATGCTCCTATCACTCTCCTTTAATCAGGTCTCCAGACTCTGCTGATTTCTTTTCTTTGGATCCTCCTGAATAAAAAATAATTGCGTAATCTCTCTCTCTCTCTCTCTCTCTCTCTCTCTCTCTCTGACTCAGAGAGAATGAGAGAGCAAAAAAGCCTTCCATATATAATTTTGTTCATTAAAGTGTATTTACTGAGGATCTGTGTATGACATGAACTGTATTAGGGATACATCAATGAATGAGACAGGCAAGAGGTGGTATATCTGGGGTTCTGATCAGCTTAGAGAGTACATAGGACAAAACTCCATCGCTCAAAATAAGGTCCATAGCTACTTGTTTAATTGCACATTGCAGTACTTCTCAAACTTTAATGCTCTTAGAAATTATCTGAGGATCTTGTAGAAACACAGATCCCTATGCAGTTGGAAAGTTCTATTGTCCCAGCTTCCCCCGAGTGTGCATGTCCGAGAGAGGATGCAGACTGCAGAAGGATGTATCTGTGCATCAGCCCCAGGGCCAACATAAGGGGCCCCAGTTGGGGTGAACTGCAGATGCCCATGGCTGGGTGGGTATATGTTTTGAGGCTAAGGAGGGTAGATGCATCCTAGTACAACCTTCCAGGCTGCTCTTCTGACTATTTTCCATCAAGGTCGTACTGCTTTTAGCTTAGCAATAGCAGCCGCCTCACACCCCGCCATACCCGCCCCCCCCCCCTCCACCCCCCTTTTCTCCCCATCTAGCTGAGCACATCCCCTGGCCAGGCCAGGCAGAGCAGCTCATTAAGTGACCGCTGAAGCTCTCTGTAACCTGCCAGCCAGCCAGGGAGGCGCTGGCCGAGGAGGGTGGGCTCTTCAGAGGCCCTCTTTCCCCTCTCTCCCTCTTCCCACCTTCCCCTGGCTGTCAGTGGCAGTGCCTGCGGAAGAGCCGCCCTCTGCAGCAGCCCCTGGCACTTGGCTCGCACTTCTGGGCGCTGTCCATGGTTGCCGCATCCTTAGGCGCGCCACGTCAGGAGGCCGCAGCAGGGCCCTGCGATTGGCCCAGGCGCCCTTGCCATCCCCAGACACACCCGCCCCCGGGTCCAGGTCTGGAGCTCCCGCCCCGCAGGCGCGTGCGGGCGAGCGAGCCGGGCGCGCCCTGGGACTTCCGGCGGCACGCCCACTTCCCTTAATAGGAAAGAGTCCGGTGCCCCGAGGGGCCGGCGTCGCTCAGGGGTGGGGCTGGGAACCTTAGGACGCCACCGCCCCGGGCGCAGCCACAGCCGCCTCCGAGCGGCAGGAGGGAGCAGAAGGTCGCTGCGCCACAGGACGCCACTACCCGGAGATCCCGCGCCTCTCCTCCGACTGAGGTCTTCCTCTGCACCCCTCCGGGTACCCCTAGTCCAAACCTCACAACGATATGGAAGAATTTTTGCAACGCGCCAAGTCTAAACTGGTAAGTTGAGGAAGCCAGGCGTGTGTGCGTCTCTCTCTCTCTCTCTCTCTCTCTCTCTCTCTCTCTCTCTCTCTGTTTTCTAATGGAGAGGAAAGGGCATTGCAGTAGAAGAGGCAGAAACAACTTTGCCACTTAGTTGTCAGGGTATGCGGGCTGTATGCCGGCACGGATCTCTGGAACTCTGGTGGTGCTTTCAGCAAGCAGTCTGCCTCCAGAATCCTTCCCTGCGCCAGACAGGACGCCGACCTGGGGGTGGTCATAGCCTAGCTCAAGTTGTGTGTCCAGTCTGGTTCCTTCAGCCTGAGGTTGGAGAGAGGCAGATCCAGCCAAATCTGCATTTTGCTCGAGGAGGAATGGGTGTGGTGCCCCTTGGGAAAAAGAGCCCAGCCTCTGCAGACGCAATAGGTGTCAGTGTAAAAGGAAAGTAAGGATCTCTCAGAACCGGCTTTAGCTGGAGGTGGTGGCAAAGCATAAGTGAGGAAGTCAGGGTGTCAACTAGGAAGGACATGTGCCAATACGCAGTTTATGCAAACATACCTCACACAGAGCTTGCTCCAGGGCAGGAGTTGGGGATATTCTAATGTGAATCCTGTGTCTCTTGGGTCCCTATTCAGATCTGTAATTTGGGACAGAGAGAGAAGGGGACAGCCCCAACTGTTGCTGGCCATGTGCATTTTGCCAGACTGGCTCTCCTGGGAGGAGACCAGCGTGTTGGTCGGCTGTGTTTAACTGTTTCACTGTACAAAGAGTGAACAAACATTTCACTTGTTGACAAAAATTTTATGTTGACAGTTGTTACATTCTAGCAGTTTCCTAATTCCGAATTGTTTTGGCTCTCCATCATAGCATCAATAAACATAATGGAAATTTTTCTGTTTCTACACTTTAAAAAAAAAGCCTCTGCCCATTTAGAAGCAATATCTTTAATGAACAGTGAAAGCACCTTTTATGGGCCTGGCATTGGAGGAAATGCATAATTTATGATGCCTTTAACCTTTAAACCTTCAGAAAAGCCAAAATATAAAGTCTGCATTAAGGTGACGTCTTAATCACAAGGCAGGCTTATTCCTGTAACTCACCCTCCAACAACAAAGGGAGTGTGGAGGCAAGTGTGATTTTTACAATAGCTTAACTGTAAGTATCTTTAAAAAGACCATTAAAATTGATTAATGCTAATATGAGTACTTTGTTTTCCACCTTAAGCCTCACAGAGAATGGAACGTTTGCCGGAATTTCAGGATTGAGAAAATATGTGATCATTTCTGTGTTTGTTGCTGACCCCCTTATGAGTTGCACATGAGCATTAGAAGGAAAATACTGATTGCAGAAACTCCCTTGCATTTCTGATATTATACATGGGCCCTGAGTTCTTGACCTGATAATGAGTGAGAGATGGTCAAAAAGGAAAGTCAATTTTGGCAGCTTATTTATTTGTTTTTTGTGTGGATGAAAATGAATGGTTGATCAACGATAACTGCAGTTTTAGACCACACCTGTACTCTGCTCGTCTTATGTGCTCTGCTCGACAATAAACGTTTAGATTGTGGGGTCTCATGTGAGCTTGAAATGAGAGGTTTGTCTCATTTCTGAAGAGCAATTACTGGAATAAAAAGTGCCTGTTTCAGATAATCAGTTTAGAGTCATGTGTAAGTTTATTTACCGAGTCCCTTCATTAGACGAGCAATTGCTCTACATCATTAAAAAAAAAAAGATAGTAAAAAGAAGTGGTTGTTTGAAATACTGATCCCAGTCTACTGCTTTAGCCAGAAGAACAATTACTGCTAATTGTGTGTTTTTCTTGGAATAGATTTCCTGTTAGGGATCACAGTTAGCCTTTCATATTCGGCTATAGCAAAGGTGATTGGGTCACATTTTCTCCCTAGATAAAAAAATTTTTTTTTACTTAATATGCAACATTCAGCTATTGTAGTAAATAACTTTTGTTTTAGAGGATGGATAGCCTTTGTTTAAGAGGGAAAAATTGAATAAATAATTATGGCATTTATTTGTGAGTTTATTCATAATGAAATAGTAGGATTGCTTAAAAATTGGGCTATTTTTGGGAAGCATTTTAAGGAGAAGAAATTATGTTGGATTTCACTTAAGCTTTATTAGGCCAGAATTAAATATAATTTAGATGTTATATTTAAGCTGTTTTCCATCAGAAGCTAATACAGATTTATTTATATGATACCTAGACAAACTCTAATTGGCAGACTTTTTCTACCTACTTCACTTCTTTGATATTCTACCAGCATATGATATATATCTTTGAATGCTTCAAAATTGTCAATGGCCCTTCCAAACTCATAATGTAACCTCATCATCATTGGAGCTAACTAATTTCAATAGACCAAAGGAATTTAAAATTCCTAAGTGGAATTGCTATTAACCATAGCTAAAATCTCCCATTATCAAACTTTGGAGAAATTGTTTGTGTGCCTTTAGTTCCCAACTAGGAGCATTTATCATTTATCTGTCATTGTGAGGAGAGGAGAGGGTTCCCATTCTAGGCCAGGCCCTTGGGTTGAGCAGACATCTCTGAAGCAGAGGGATGCTTTTGAATTTTTATCAGGTAGTTTGGAGGTGATTTCTGTTGAAATCGAGAGAGCACTCTCTCAATTCTATTTATCATGCCAGACTGGTTTTGCAAGTCCTTAAACTGAGGCAGATTCGCTGACAATCCCAATCCCCCTTGTCCCTAAATCTCCCCTTCCAATCCCACCTGAGAATAGATGAAACTGATCCAAAATGGCAAAAGTAAACCCCAAATGTGGCGTCAGAGGCATCGCCCTCTCCTGGAGCTCAAATGCTTCTCTAGGGGGCCTGCCAGAAGGAACCCTTGTTAGGACAGGCGTGGGTGCCTGGGTGCCAGGAGCTATTTCATAAAAAAGAGAAACCCGGGCTGAAGGTGGAAGGCAGCAAGAGACTGGTTCCTGCCATGCAGTCTCTAGCAATGCCACCTTCTTGATAAAGAAGGAATTGACACAGTTACCGTTAAAACAATCAAGACAGTAGAGTACTCAGCATGAGAGCTAGACCCCAAGGCAGTAGAGCTGGTAATCAAAGGGTGATGTTTGTTAATTTGGTTCACTACCCCAGGTGAGAACCCAGATGTTTCTGATCTGGACACTTACTGCTAGCACTAGGAGTGAAAGTGAAAACATATTTTCTTTTTCTCCTGCCACTGCCCACTTGGCTTTTCTTCCACTTGCCTATTCTGAGCTGGAATAGGGAAAGAGATCAAATCCGGTAGTTCCAGGTCAGCTCTTAAGTTTCAGCCATGCTTTTCATTTTAGTTACACAAGTCTATGGTGGTGTCTCAGTCATTCTCTAGTTATACTGTTTCTATGGTAAGAGAAATTGAAGACAGGTAAGAATGAGAACTTCCTGCCCTAGGCTCTAATTTGGGAAATGTCTTCCAGTTTCATGGTGGCCAGCTCAGAAAAATATTCAGGCCAAGACAAAATATTCAGGCCTCATGATGGCAGTAAATGGTCCAAGTCCCCATGAACTCTGGGAGGGGTGGGGGTGGGAGGAGGTAGATGGGGCTCTGGCTGGCAGAAAGCCATGGTCCCCACACTGAGTATATTGGCTGCTTGAGCCTCTCCCACTGCCCAGACCCCACCAGCTGATGCAATTCAAGCAGCTGCTCAAGGCCATGGCGATGTGGGAGGAGGGCCTCTGCAGCACACTGCCCTAAGTTGTAGGTCATGCCAGCCTTGGGTGTGTGTGGCCAGAGTGTCAGCTGCTACCGGAAGGATATAGGGCATATTAATGCCTTAGGAATGCTGTTTTCAAAGACAGGGTGGGGACAGGGCTACCACAACCGTCTGGGGAACGCATCTGCCACTTCAGCAAGTGACAACTGCAGGTGGAGGGCTCATATTGCAGTGGGTATTGGTCAATAGGTGGACTTCTTCAGAAGAATAGTTCTGGGTGACCTACCTGCCAACTTATACTCTGTGGTATGTGGTCTAGAGACAAGAAGGCACACTCAAAACTCTACATGAACAACCACATTAGAGTTTATAGAGGGGCTGGGGTTTTAAACAAGAAAGAAAAACACTGCAGCATGCCCACAGACTAATCATCTTGACTAGAAATTGGAGGAACCTTTTCTTCCTGATTTCCTTTATGGGAAGAAGGTGGTGCGTGTCAATAAAAAACGTCTTTAAAGGGAAAGTGCCATACCTTTCAAAGAGCTGCTGTGGTGAGGATTGGCAACGGTGAGATGCTGGCAAAGCAGTTTCCTTTGGCGAGCTGAGCTCATTCTGATCACCGTCCACGGGATCAGCTCCTGCCCCCCCATGAGTGAGAGCTGGTGCATTTGAGACTGTGCCTCTTGCCAGAGCATCCTGAGCAGGAAACTCAAGAACCCAAGCTCTTCTGTGAATGTGGAGCCACCCCTCAGGGCCTGATGAGAAAAATGCCCTTGGCGGATTTAGACCAGGAGTCAGCTCCATTTCTCACTGCCGGAGCTGTCAGACCATGAGCTGTGAATGTCCCAGCTTCAGGGCCGCAGAGGAGACCCAGGCTTTTCCCTTGTGAATCTCAGAGTGGAGTGGTCTGCCTCGAAGGTGAAGAATTGTTCACTCCCATTCAGACAGCACCTAGGGTCTTGAAGGATGGGCTCAGGTGAGTGAGGACACCCTTTAATCAGTGATTTGGGGACTATTTTATGTTGAGTAGGTAAAAACGTAACAGCATTGGTCCTAGAAACCTGTTTGTTTCTATGAAGCCTTTATTTGGGCAGATAGTGACATCATTTTGGGTTTGGTGTACTTCTCTGGGGAGCTCTTGTAAGCAATGGTGTCTTGTTGATGAAGGTTTCACTCTTTCCTTACATCCAGTCCTCCTTGGAGTATTGGCTGAGCAAATAAAAAGAAGAAAAAATGGTGAGGGAGGAATACCTGGGTCTGGATGGAGGTTTCAAAAGAGGAAAGAACATCTGGGGACTGGAGAGGTAAAGTGCATGGTGTTGCCTTGGTTGGTGATTC